TGAGTGAATGTATGATGTACCCTCGGTCTCTCAAGTAGTTGGACAGAAATCCCTTTGACAAGATCGGGCACCGTTAAGACGAAAATAAAGTGACGAAGTGAAACAGACGCAAAATCCGCTCCTCATAACTGCTCTAACTTCAGCCCTCCACAAACAATTATGTTTTTCGTACAACCAAAGGTTGATGTGCAAGAAACTAGCCAAACTTCAGATCCATTGGAATTGCTTAAATCAGATATCTTGTAGGATACCATCGAATTCAGGGAGTGGCGATTGAGTCAAGGATGTTTGAAATTTCTCCAGCCACGCTCTAGGGACAAAGTGAAAGTTCAAAGAAGACGCACAAAAGCGTATGGATAGCTGCTTAAACTTCCCTTATTGTATTCGTGTGAAATGGAGTGATTTCTGGGCCGCCCAGACCTTTTATACTTTGACAATACATTTGTCACTGCTGTCGTACGTCCCTCATTCGGGTTCAGAAAAAGGTCCTGGAAGCTAAAATTCAAAGGGAAATCTCCAGACCCTTATTTGTTCTTCCACAACCACTTTATTGGTGGCACATTATCGAAATCTGCATCGGAAAAACAGGATACACTTTTAACGAATAATGTCGCATATAAACGCTGGTTAAAACTCATCGTCAAAATGAATTCACTGTCATATCACACGCATCTTCGTCAAAGAAAGTCCCAACTTCTCCATTTTACTTTGAGTCGACAGAATTTTCATTCCTCTCTTCTCCCCCTTAAGCCTTTTTATGCCTTACCAACTCAAAGTCAGTCTGATAAGTTTGGGCTTTGCCGGGCACAAAAATTCCGTTCCTGTTCCGAACTTTCCCCGCATTTTCTGTCTTTTGATGCGTAAACTATCTGAGGCAACCTAATCTTGGTCATTAATCACAATCGTTTTAATGCTCAATCAACGATTTCGATACAGTTTTGAGGAACGCGGAGATGTGAAGTAAAATGGCTAGTAGAAAGCCCAAATGGCACACGTCAGTGTTAATGCGCCATTTTAAAGACTATGCCGCAGAATTGTAATACATACTTTGTCTAATACGTTGTATCATTTTAAACACACGACGTCGCTTCAACAATTCATCTTAACCATTCAAAATAAAAATTGAAAAAAAATCCTGACGGAGGGCACAAGTATGGACACTTTAGTGGGAGTAGAGTGCCACAGGTGGCATACAACATAACAAGGCATTTAAACTGGTAAAAGCAAAATTGCACGGGTGGATGACGATGCATACTGTCAAAATAACCCGACTTAGAATGTAATTAAACATGGTTGAGACTGAGGCAGTTAAGGCTAACTTGAGGGCAGGCTCAAAAAACTTGGGCTGAATTTGTTCAGAACTGTGTCAATACGACAGACAGGTTCCCCAAAAATGCGAATCACGCGGTCAACATAAGCTTCAAAACTGAAATGCAGTGGAGATAAGTAATGCGATAACCTACCCTGACCCAAGCTGCGAAGCGTAGAGCTATGGTGGAGATGTAGAGGGAATTTTGAGCAAAGTCTAGCAGGTGCCACATATCACTGATGTAGGCTCTTACACCCACCGTCCAAATGTTGGTGATCTCTTGCCAGACAAATCCTTAAAAGCCAAATAGATAATTTAAATAAAATGATTAGGCAAAAGTCTTACCCTCGAAAAAGAGTAATTCGGTTACTTTACTTGTTTCGTGCGAAACGCCAACTTTTATCGTAATATATACTAAGTTGTTTAAGTGGAACTTTACGGAGGCGAGGCGGAAAAACAATTCAAACACGAAGTTAGTTCATGAGGGGCGAGAAGAGACGTTCTCAGGTTGACATCGACTCTTCGTCTCATCGATTCTCCCCTCACTTCCTTTCCTTCTGTACATGATGCCTAATAAGCCTTCCTCAATCAACCCTCTCATGAAATCCGAGGTCCAGAGGCCTGAGGGTAGGCAGATAGGTCCTACATGTAGCTCAACTAACTTATGCTTTAACGTTACCCAAAATTTCATTTTTATTACTCAGTCCAGCTTGTTACTTTGCACCCAGTAATCTGCGGCTCTTGAAAAATCTCCATTTTCTCCTGTTTGTTGAAAATTTGAGCTTAAATTAAATGCACCGACCACTGCTCCAGGAGTCTATTTAAAAAAACTCGTTATAATTGCATCCAAAGTCGTAAGACTATTTTCATACTGCATAAAGTTTAAAGTCCTCATACCTACCAATTTACAAAAATACGTAATAATCAGCTAGTATGCATAACTAAATATTAATAGGTGGAGAGACAATTAGTTCATGTAGATACGTGTGAAGGTGCTTTGTTGAGGTTCTTCCACGGAATTACATATCAATTTAAGGGAGTGAAGGGGTGTCTGTTGACTCAATTCACAAATTTTAGGATAGTACAATATTTCTAACTACCATTGACATTAATACGTGCTCACGTCGCCAACTTGTTTCTTGGGATTATGAACGCATCGTAGTAATACCAAGTGATCAGGTCTGCGTGCTCACCTAGAACAAAGACTATTGCAAAGGCCTCGAAGATGGACGGCGCAGGGTCTCTGCAACTCATCCGTTGTTCAAGCTGATTTGTCAGATAAAACTCTATCCGCATAGCTACCAGAGTTAAAAGAACTAAAAAGGAAAGGATTTAATTTAAAAATTGTAGGTGGCATTTCAAACGCATCAACTGTCAATGTGTGAAAGAATTGGACCACCACGTACTAAACATTTTGTTGGCTTGGATTTCACATCAATTTAATTTTAGCTTAACTAATTTTTATTTCATCGACGCGATCAGATAAAAAATCGGAGCATTTTAATTGCGCGTAATCGATATAAGCGTTGACAAGTACGCCACTTAGGCTTAAACATGAGGACATTTCAATTTGATTTAAAGCTCAGATCTCATTTTATCACACGCCTTCTACACCCAAAGCACTTTCCGATCCTCACGCTACCTTGCGATTTGCTCGTCATATCATTGCTTGAGTCGAAATACTGACGGCAAATTTTACTTTGCGAAAGAAAGGGATGGGAAATGGGTTTTTAAAACTACCGTATGCAACGCACCCCATAGGCAACATGAAGGTTGCGGTTTTTAAAATAGCTTGCAGCACGACTGATAACATTTTCGACCAGTAGTCTGGTAAAACGTACTGATGAAACGAGCAACAAAAATAAAGTGAGCGAAAATCTGAAGCCGACGTTATAACTCAGCTTGATTTACAATTTTGAGGGTGAAACCAAAATTTAAGTACTTACGTTCATAGTATTCCTACTTACATTTTGCATATTAAGGAGTTTAGGGTTTCAATTAAATTTCCTTGTACTACTCCATTGCGTGGGACAGTCCAAACACACAAACACCGTTTATCATAGCAGCACAGGACATTTCTTCTACCTCCGCACTACACTCTCCACCTTCTGACGAATACAAGGTCAACCATGTAGAAAAGTGAGGTTGTGAAACCTCTGCCTCCGTGACATCCCCCTCGTCCGTACCAGACAGCCATCACAGCATACTCGCTTACGTCGTAATGAGGGCACACACAAACACACACTCAACAGTTGGCCATTGGAGAGGTGGCTATGCCTCAGTGCCACACCAACCTCTCTCTGTTATTTACCCTCCCCACCATCCTCCCACCTACTTCCCACCCTCAACTCTACTCCCATTTCCTGCTGTCACCATTCAACCTACTGTTGGATTGTCTGCATCCTCCTCCATCTCGTCCCCACACATACCCACCTTCTGCACAATGACACCAAATCCAAGCCTCCTCACCAAAGTCGTGAATACAAGCATTCATCTGGCATCCCACATCTCAAACATTCCACGCACGATGGAATGCGAGACACCCCACCGCACGAGACCACATCGGATCCACTCGAGCAGTGAGTTGTCTCATTCACCCACACCATCCCTCACCGTGACTACTCCACTCCACTTCACC